CTTGTAACGGTTCCAATTTGTTAAAAGCTGCATTAAAAAAGCAAAATTTTTCACCAGTTAATGATAAATTTACACCTACGGTTTTTTTAAGGAAATGGTGCAAAAACATGAGCTTGATTCAAAGCAAAGGCGTAGTGACAGTCTTGATAGGCAACCGATGTTGCCGACCAAAAGACCTGGTGATGGCAGTGAAACAGTTTAGTACAAAGTTCGTTATTTTTGCTTTTGATGTTCATACCATTGTTGTTGCTTTAATGGTCTTATATCACTCGGAGTTACCCAATTTTTATGTAACTTTGCTTCAAGTGTCTAATGTGCATATCATTCTGTCATTTTGGTACTAAAGGAAATTTAAATTTTTTGTCACACAGCGGTTTTGTATTGTTTTTCGGTTTGATGGAAATAGCTTTATATTTACTTGTGGGATTGTCTTTCAAACTCATTTCTTTGGTAATTTCCTCTCTATCTTTAAGTTTCTTGTGATAGCCAAATTCATTACATCTTCTCTTCAAGTGACTGGCCCTTAAATGTATATCTTTGTCTCTCTTTTTGGAAGGAGTTGTTTATAAATGTCATCGTAATGACTTGTATGTTAATCACGAGGTTCATCTAAAACTTCCTAACTTTAGCTGTTTGTCGAAAGTCATATGATTTATGGATCGTTTAATTTGTCATTGAACTATTCTTATTAATATTCTTACTAATGGAAAGTAGATGTGCTTATCAGTAAACGGTTGTTGTCAGTGTTTTTATTTATACGTAGTAGCTATCCTCAATACTCTTTGATACGTTGATTTTAGCAGGTGAAGCCGTATCTTGCAGATTGCAGGACAGTTTTCAAAGGTTCTTTTTTCATATTATGTCAGTAGATAGCCTCCTGTTAGAAGCTGTGGTATTGTTCTGGCTTGAGCGGTTTTGACGAAGGTTGCTCGTAGCGGTCCTAGATTTAAGGTATTAATTAGGAGTATTTGGGGATGTTATGGTCTATTCCGCGAAGAAGTAGTATTTATGTCTCACTTTGGGGGTTATAAAATTTTGAGTTGTAAATTTTGTTCAGAACGGCTGGCGTTGTTGATTTTCCCGGTTTCTTGCGGCATTGAGTGTATTCTATAATCAGATTCGAGGGTTGGCTCTGCTCTTTATATTTTTGGACAGACTGCGTTCTGTTAGGTATTGAAAGAGATACGAATTTTTTGAGACACATTTTTTCAAGAAGTGTCACTTCTCATGATTTCAGAATTGCCTCTCTGCGTTCGACGGTCTTCGAGGTTTGTGGGAGCATTTCGTAAGGTCCATTTCGTGTACCATTTCATGTGACTGATGGGCATCTTTGTTGGTGGATGCATTGTTGAAATGTGAGGTTCAGCAAATTGGTCAGAAGGAAAGTTTGGGCAAGATCTACTAGTGTAAATTTCACAACATGAGTGTAACTGCCCATAAGTCGCGAGTAACACCATAGGAGCTAAAAGTAACGATTAGAAGGGGGAACATGTAAAGGGTAAATATTTGGCCTCTGTTAAGGTACTAGTAGTTTTGATTTTGTCAAATATCATTTCCGAAAAGTACGTGCTGACAAGCACTTCACTTAATAATGAGTGTTATCCGGGCCTTATCAAAGCTCTACTAAAACATTTTTGAAATTTGTCCTACGGGACCAGTTTTTATCGAGCTCATCAAAGTAAAAGTGCTAGGCGTCAAGATAAAGCAAATTGTGTTTGATTTGAAGCGACTTGCGAAAGCATTTAGTGTTGCTGTATTCATCTGGTTTGTCCATTACAAGGTGCAGTAGCTATGGGTAAAAAAGGGAAATGGTGTTGATTTACAGAATCATGATTCTTCTCAGAGCCTTTGAAATTTTTTTTTGTCATGATTTCCATAAAGTTCTGTTTATTTTTTTTAAACGTCATTTTTTTTAATTAAAAAATATCTATCAAGTTCCTCGGCGTTCGCAAAGTGAGCACGCAGCGAAGTTCTGCCATGATACAGCTGAGGTTCTGCGCTGCACCGTCTTGGCGCCTTGACCACCTTGTTGGCTGGGAGAGCTTTGTAGTCCATACTTCTGGTTGTCCCATTTGCTTTTGGTTTATGCTCAAGCAGTAAATGGAAGCCTTCAAACCTAAACAATGCTTTTTCAAGTATTTGTAATAGAGTCCAAAGGAAACGTATAATATGGATCTGTTTACAAGTAGCGAAAGAAACAAGCAGGTGAATGAAACAAAATTTCTTCTTGTTGCTAAATAAATTTATGGTTTTGAAGGTTTTTATGGATCTAAATTTTAGTGGAACAGCAAAATACACCAAAGGTTTTTTGAATTTTGAGAGTTGTAATATTCGCCTTCAATCTGTTTTTTGCACAGATTGGCAGTGATCTTTGATTTCTCAAGACAGTTTGTATGTGAGCGGGTACAACGAGTTACATTTTAACATGGTTTTCTAGTTTTTTGGGTAAAGTTGCAGACTTTTTGAAGCTTATAATTTGAGAAATTAGATGTTTAAGAAATCGCGAGCAATTAAACAACCTTCAGAATTGAATGATCCGTTTTGTTTGAATTTTTTGGCAAATGACGCTAGGGAGAATATTTTTAGCTAGAATTTTTTAAATATCAATCGTAATTGGGATATGAAGAGGGGCATTATGCCTGTTTAAAAAAGGCTTGTTGATTTTGATTAATGGATGATCCGTAACTTAAGCGAGTCAACTATGTATATGTGTTGATGTTATGGTAAGTTTCCCTGGTCTTGTTATATATAATAAATACTTGGGCGAGATAGGTAAAATAAATTTTTTTTCGGAGGGGGGGG